TGAACACAGCACAAGCAGCACGCAAGGACTACAGCTTGAAGGCATTCTGTCAAAGCAGGACATTTCGAACCTGAGCTCGTGAAGTTTTTCATCTCGTCGGATGGCCTTCTGAGTCCAACCAAATCGCACAGCTTCCAGTGCCTAGCAGCTCCTAAGCTTTTGGTGCCAATGTCTGCAGGATTCCATTCTCCTGCAACATGATGCGCTGGTAACAAAGACTCGCTGTATTTTTCCGCGAACGCCTTCGCGCGTATACGCAAGTGTCGCGTTCGCCAATGCGCTGCCGTTCCACCGTAGATAGCAAGTGCGGCGACATTGTCGCCCAGTATCTGTTTCTTCGAACCATACTGAAGCAACTCATCTAGCAAGTACGCGGTAGATATGGTGTAGTTGGCAAGATCCATCAATGCTATCATTTCAGCTTCACACGATGACTGTGCCATGAAAGCTTGTCGTGACACGGACCATGCTACAACAGCTCCTTCCGCGTAAACCTGTACGCATTGCATGGACCTCTTTGCCTCCGGCGCGAAAGATGCGTCTCCAAATCCTTCAATAAGTCCTAGGGGGTCTGGGTACCGCTTGTAGTTTACCCACACATCTCGATTCTCGCGCCAATACGTCAAAACAAAATCCCTAGTGGCAGCAAGATACGCTAAGACATGAAGTCCTGCTTTGTAGGTGGCTACTGGGGCCTTGCCTATTCGAGATGCTAGCTTTGAAACCACAAATGAAATATCTGGCCTCGTCCGAATGCTGGTCCAAAGAACTTCTCCTAGAAGGGCCTGAGTCCTCCTAAGGTCTGTTATGGATATTCCCTCTTCCTCGGCGTCCTCATCGAAACTCGGAGGCATTGGGGTGGTTGGTTTTCCATACTGGGCTAGTTCGGTACTGTATCTTGCTTCAAGTTCCTGCACGTAAGCCTTCTGACCCAAAAGCAGGTTACCACACCCATCCCACCGAAGATCTATCCCTAAAAACCGCACCGAAGATTCCTCTGTGTCTCCCACTTCCTGCGGGCTCGAGCAATCCCAACAAGCCATGATAGCCGCAACAATCGCCCTTGCGAGCAAAGCTTCCGCTCCAACTAACAGGTCATCTACATAAACCGCTACCCAACCGGCTATCGAATCCTCAACCTCCGTGTGCAGCGATGCTGCGTACCCGCGTCGAGGCTCTGATGTAGCAACAAGCCAAATCGAGTCTTCTGCGAAGGACTGAAACAATCGGTACGTGCGTCCATTGCACTGTATCTTCAGCGCCTTTAGTTGCTGATCACGCTGCAATGACCAGTCTCTCGGTGATTGGTCAAGGCCATACACTGCTTTTCTCACGATAAGCCTGTCATAAGGCTTGAAGACTCCTTTCGTGATAAGCATGCGTGGCGGTATAAGTGCAACGATCTCATGAGTTTGCGATTCATCGTTGACTGTTGATGTTTGTGCCGCGCTTTGGTCAGTCTTCTCGGCCGCAGCTTGAGCCGCCTGTCTATCTCGAGGCAGCAACACAGCATTCAAAAAGGCTGCCTTTATGTCCAAGGTGATCAACATGTGCTTCCGCCTGGTGCTGAATGCGAGTGCCGTTCTCAACGACTCGATTGTAATGCTAGCAGTGTAGACTACCTGCTTATGCTCTTGTTTGCTGTTTTCGCTACTGCTCAAGAAGTTTCCGCATGCAACCAGCCTACACTTTCTTCTACCACACGGAGCCTTAACACTGTATATCGCCTTACTGGGTATCAGGACAACACGAAAGCCTTGCTTTTGAAGTTGATCTAACTCCGCTTGTGTCGAGTGTCGAAGGGCATGCTTGTCGGTAACCAGGTTGTCTAACTCAGCTTGTGTGGGACTCTCCCACAAATCCCAATGACTCATGACCTCCGCGTTGCTAATGATCCTTGTCTGCAGGACCGTCTCCTGAGCCGCACTGCTGGTGGCGCTAACGTCCTCGACATCCTGATGGAGTTGGGCCAGGCAGAGCGACCGAAGCTCATATCTCAAATCTTGAATATCCTGCCAGATCTGCTGCACCTGGCTGCGGTCTTCAGTGTCATCTACCCAAGCCTGCAACACATCTTCATGCAACGAGGCTAAACGCAACTGACGTTCATCCAACCACTCCGTGAACTGCTCGATGTCCTTCTGGACAACTTCGCTGCGGAGCCTCAGCCCCTCAGTTTGGGAACAATCAGTCCACTCATGCTCCGGATGAGCCTTAAGCTCACTTTCATTGCCTTCCTCGGCAGACTCGCGGCCTGCCTCCGGCTCAACAGAATGCTCACGCATGCGACTCATGCCAACAAAAGCATCAAGCTCATCACGCTCAAGTTTGCACAACTCGGCCTCCTCGGAAAGCTTACTGCCTCCCTCAGCCTTCTCATCACACGTCAACATGCGCTCATGGGCATCACCAGAGAACTCGCTGTTCTCCTCAGCCTCCTTCACTCCAAGCAGCACGCGATCAACAACCAAGCCAAGGTCAAGATCATCAACACTACGTGCAGCCCGGTTATCAGAATACTTCAACAGATTATCTTCATCGGAAGAAACTTTCTTCTCCTCAGCTCTGTTTACACACAATCTTTCAATCCCAACGCTGTTACCAGCCACCTGCACTGCCACAACGTGAGCGTCACTATGAAGCGACACTGGAGTCTCAAGCCGCTGCTGGACTTGCTCATCTCCCGCATCGAATCGACACATCCCTCCGGGATCCTGCTTTTTAGGGTTTTGGGTTATACGATTTTTAGGATTTTGGGGTATGCTATTTTTTGAGGATTTTGGATTGGAAAACTGCTTAAAATCAAAGGTTGTTTCACTGCTTGCGTCCGAATAGGAGTTATGCACGCCACAGAGTTTGCCATGCTCTCCAGTCTGAGGACACTGCTGCATTGCGGCCCGGCAACCACAATCTAGACATCTGCCGTCAGCTCCAACTGACTCCGTCTCACAGATTCTGCAAAAATGCTCCCGTCCAAAACGAACTGAATCTACTCTACCAACACCCTGCGCAACATCTAAACCCTTATCCCCGCTTTCGTCCAAAGAAGCACCACACTCCCCCGAACCTACAACATGACAACCGCTAAAGACATGCAACGGCTGGCGATACGC